TAATGTTGATTAAAAGAATTAAAAACCAATTAAAAGAATAGCGTATGAAGTATATTGTAGAATGCTTGTTGCTTAGAGGAACGAAGGCAAAACAAGCATCAATAAAGTGAGAAGGCTTAGCTAAAACAGAGGGAATATAAGCGAATGAAATCATCCGAAATAAAATATGGTTTAGGTCTAACAAAAATAAATCAGGCGTTAATTAGACTAGCAAAGTAGTTCTGATCCATATTTTAAATAGTAGTAAACTTTGGAAAAATAAACGACTATGCTAATTAATTTTTCGTGTATAAGTAGTTTCGAGATTACCATTAAATCAGTTATATTAGATGTATTCATCTTATTTAGTTTAATGTGATGAAGGATTGGTAGAAGAAATTGTCCACAATGATATGAGTAAAGCTGACGTTTCAATTGAATTTCACAGAGCCTTGCTTTCCCAAGAGTTGTTCTCATCCAAGGTGGACTGCAGCTTAAACCTCGCATAGGTCTTATCAACATCTCCGACGGGAGTCGAACCGTGACAGTGCAGCATGTGAGCTTGACACGTTAACCGCTCGGCCAGATTGCCACGAGTGCCCTTGGGTTACATGGCAGATGTGAAATTCAAGGATAGCCAGGCCTTTTCCCATATGATACGACCTATGCGGGGTCGAAGCTGCCGTCCACCATAGATGAGAACAAATTTCGAGGAAGCAAAGTTCTGTGAAATTCATTAGAATAGTCAAATCTACTCATATCATTGTGGGAAAATTCTACTACGAGTCCTTCATCACCTTAAATAAAATATGGTGAATACATATTCTAATTCCTTAATGTCTCAACTTTCATCTAATGAAACAGCAATGGCCTGACGGCAATCAAGGATTTACAAGAGAATTCGGGCATTAGTAGTTTGGCGACATTCGCTTAACAGACAACAGGCGATTGATCCTGAGCACCACTAGAAGAAAGAGAAGCTTCGGTATAAACTAAATTCGAGGCGGAAGGATACGTAGCATACTGACCTCGGGAAGTCTGGAGTATTGGGATAAACGAGCAATCTTTATCATTTGTCAGACGTGAGCGAGACAATACAATTAAAAAAACTGGGTTTTTCTCTAATTTCGAGTCCAAAGTCCATCGAGGTGTAATATCTAAACGACAGAGGTTGGAAGAAAGAATCTAATGGGCAAAGTGCCATGGTTCTTTTAAAAGCTTGGGCTACCACTAACTAGGGCTATTAGTTCTTATGGGAGTGATCATTTCCGCATTAATCTTCTTAGATAAAAGTAATTTATATATATCAGGGCAATATATAAAAAAGCTCTATTAACCATATTAATGAAATGCCAATCTATGAATGATCTTTCTTTAAAAGTTTTTACATATAGTGAAAACTCGGAAGAATTAATTTAGAACAGCGACCAACTATCGACAATATAGAAATATATATATATATATATACGAAGCTTTGATTGCTTAGGCATAAGATTCCTACCAGCCGTGCTTCGGACAACATTTCGCAGGGCCTCCAGGGAAGCCGCAATGTTGTCTACGATCTTGCTAGTCACGTCGTCAGCCGATTTCTCCGCGTCGCGCTGGCCACTGATACTAGGAGGGGAAGCAGTAATTGTGGTGGCCGCGGAACGTGGCTTGGTACCAAAGGGCAGTGGGAGAGGAGTCAGCTTGGTCGATTCGTTGGCTATGAAGCGAAGCAAATCGAGAGCAAAGCCTTTAGGGTTCTGGAAAGTAGGAAACAACATAGGGAGTTAATTATGAATGAGGTGAAAGATGGAAGATTTATAAAATTTACCCAAGCCTTCAATATGAAGGACATGCATTTCTGAAGAGTAACTATATGCATATGTAAGTATTGGTGTAAGAATATCAACTAGGCCGAACCATATTCTGTTAGGTGAGCACTAGTCAGCCAGGAAATGAATCTCAGCAGTGTGAATAATTATGCAAATGCCTAACTCAATTAGCGAAATATAAAAAATCCACCCGAAATCCTGGCTAGAAGGGTCCCTTCGATTAATAACGTTTACAATATTTTTCTAGGGAAAAAAAAGAAACTGCCGAGAAAAATTTAAACACCAAACAAGGCAGGCGACTAGATCCCTCAAGAAAGTAGTCATTCAGTGCGAGTTAATGGCCAATGAAAAGGTTAGATAAATGTGG